CTCCATTCTTGCCAGGAATTGGGTCAGTGGATGGCCCAGTTTTGGTCAATGAGACATGGGAGAAACCTTTCAGTAAAGTTTCTAGGAATGATTTCCTTCTTACTATGAAATGATTAGAAGAGACAGTCTCTGGAAATTGTGGTATCTGGATATGACACAGAACAGTCACAGATTCCCTTCTTCCAGCTTGAAGAGGAAGCTAACCTCAAAGATAATATGGAGAGAAAGAAAGAACATAGATCCTTGCTGACCAATTTAGGCTTCAGATTCAACTCATACTGAAGTCTTCCATACTCTGGGATTGCATATGGTAAGATATTCCTTCATTGTTGAAATAGGTTTGGGGGGCTGGGGATGTGGCTAAGCAGTAGCATGCTTGCCTGGCATGCGTGCAGCCCAGGTTCGATCCTCAGCACCACATACAAAGATGTTGTGTCCACCAAAAACTAAAAATAAAAAAAAAAAAAGAAAAGAAAAGAAATAGGTTTGGGATGGGTTTCTTTTATAATAAAATTGCCCCAGAATAAATTGCCCCAATCCTTGAAGGCTTAAAACAAGCAAATATCATCTCATGGGTCCTGTAGGTCTGGATGCTAGGAACAGCTTAGCTAGGGCCTCTGACCCATGTCTCCCACAAGGCTGCAATCAAGGCATCCACCAGGGCTGTGGTCTCCCTGAAGGCTCTGCTGGGGAGTGATCTGCTTGCATCCTGATTTGAATGACTGTTGGCAGGACTCCATCCAAAGGGTCAGTAGATTGAGGGTCTCAGTTCCTCATTGGCCTTTGACCAGAGTCTCTCTCTCAGTTCCTTGCCATGCAGGACTCCAGAAAACAGACCCAACGTGATATCTGACTTTCATCAGAGTAAGCAAATAAGAGGGGGTGCCCAAGATAGAAGCCACTGTCTGTCTCTCTTCTCATTATTCTGGAAGTGGCAAGTGACTTCCTAGTACTCTACCACATTGGATTCCTTAGACATGAGTCACTAAGGCCAGTGTTCAAGGGGAGAGGGTTGCACTACAGGGTGAACATGGGAGGTGCCCACATACAACCAAAGAATTAGGAACCAACTAAAGAAGAAAGAAGCCAAGTTTGGTATGTTGAATTCCACTGAACTCTTCACTCTTTCTCAATGTAACTGTAACAAGTCTTTTGTAATGTTGAGAATATTGAGGGCATCCTATAGATAGACCTAAAATCCTGGTACTGGATGCCTTTTAGCCTAGCACACATCTTCTCAGTTTAATGATGTAGAATGGAATAGTATTTGATACTTAAGATTCACATAACGAGACATATTCTGTAACATTTCTTTATTGAATATATACCATGTGTCAGGCACCAATCTGAATCACAGATACAAATAGAAATGAATCTTAAAGCCTCCAAGTAACTAAACTCATGGAAGAGGCATCTAACAGGTGCATGTAATACAGAATGATAAGTAAATGATAAATGCCCAGAGGATGATAAGAGAAATTCAGAGTGGGGAAAATTGGCAGGTTTTGCCAAAGATGATTTCCTGAGATGGCAGCAGAGTGTGCACAGAGTCTGCTTAACTGTGGCTGGAGCATATATTCAGGCTGGGTCTGTCTAGGGTAGGCTGGAGAACAGGCTATGGACAGGTGGTCTCTTACAGCCAAACACATATTAGTGCATGACTATTCTGTCTCTTCTATAACTCCTAAATACAAACAATACATTTGTTCAAAAAGTTCCCGACATATGGGAACTGAACACAATCTTCTCCATTTTACCTTGGTTTCAGGTAAGTGTTGGTCAAGTACTGATAATGATTTAAGCACTGAAATGGAAATGAGGGGTTTGTCCTCAGCTGAGTTCTTAAGAAGGCTTGCAGAAGGCTGTTCCCAGGAGGAATGGCAGGCAGTGGCCAGCAAACACCTCAGGACTGGGACTGGGTCAAGATCCCAGATGTCAGGGAGGGGATGAAGGTACATCTGGAACAGAGCAGGAGACGCAAAATGCAGGGTGGATGGAGTTCTGAGGACTGACTTCATGTCTCCCATCACCTTCTAACACCTGTGTACAAATCTGTTCTCCACTAGTTCTTTGCATCTTTTCATTGTATGAAGGTCAGCTGTGCTTATTGGTTTCAAGAAAGTGTATTTTCTTATTTTATTAACCTAAGTGATGTATTCCATTTGTATAGATCAGAATGGATGCACGAAAGCTATAGGTGTTCCCTGGGAGTTCTAGCATAGTGTAAGAAAAGTTCAGGTGACAAATGGGGCAAGACTCAGGGTCTGAGATCCTATAAAGAGAAATCCCACTGAATCACTTACAGTGGGACTCACATGAGACCTTTTACGTGGGATTCCTGCTGGACTGTCCAGCCTTCATGGTACTTCAGGGGAAGGTCCCACTAGGAACATGGAATCTCTTTATTAGGAACACAGTCTTAAAATTGAATTTGAGAGGTGGTATGGAAGAGCTTGTAGCTGGTATAAACATTTTTCTATATAGCACTTGGACACAGCCAAAAATACTTGTCTAATTGGGACATGGGATGCAAATGACATGAACACAATTCACACTCGATTGTTTATGTCAGGCACCTATGCCTCTGTCAAGAAAGATGAAAGGAGTACAAAGATCTCAGCACCATGGAAAATAAATAAATAAATAAACAAACAACACAGAGGGTTCATTTTCCTGAACTATTCTTAAGTCCTGAATCAAAGAAGGCAAGTTGCATACTGCCTGGCTGGGCAGGCCATCCCAGTTTTTATTCTGTAAACAATGGGCAGGCCAGTTCCACTAATTAGGTAAGAAAAAAGCTCCAGGTTGGATGTATGGAATTCTAATTCACAGCAGCCAGGACACAGGGGCAGGGGGAAGAAGGAGAAACTTTGATTGAACCCCAGCTACCCCCAAGCTATTGGACTGGGTTCAGAGTAGGACACTGCCCTCTAAAACCTCAGGGGTCATCTCCTCTCTAGATCTCTTGTTCTTCTTCACTCTATTATGAGCATCTCCATGGGCATTAGAGGAAGGAGGAGGGGATATGTGAATTGTGACAAGGAGGGCAAAGGAAGTCCCACGTGACATGTACCCAGCCAGGGAAATAAACTCAGGCAGAGAGTTGTCAGTGGGCATAAGTGGGGAAATGGGGTCCCCAGACAAGAATAAAGAGAAACTGGTCTTTCACCTGCTGCTTAGTTCCACTCTCCACTCAGACCTCTTGGAAAATCTGATGGCAGGTAGAAAATGCCTTCACAACACCACAGATGCCGGAGAAAGCTTCCCCAAATAGAGGGAGGCTGGGGAGAAAGCTGGCACTTGTGAATCCACATGAAGTCAGATGTGAGAAAGTGTTCTAGGTCTTATGCTGGGCTGCTCCATCCCAAACAGACCAAAAGATATGGATCCTGTGGCTGACTCTCGATTACCAGTGGCTATAATAAGCTCTACTCTTTTCATTCAGCAACTGCTCTCTCACTTGTCCCCAAGGAGGAGAGGCTATGGGTGAGGATAGCAGCCACCAGGGTGGCCACTGAAAGCATGTGGCCTTGGTGTAGATGGCTTAAAACACTACTCTCTTCAAAGATTAAATAATTCTGGAGTCAGCTATACCACAGCTGTCATCTTTTTGACTGGTATGTCTAATTAATCCTTAATTGTTGAATACCTTACAACAATTCATTTCCATTCAAAAGCATCTCCAATGTCAAGATGATCAAAAGTATCTGAAGGATGTAAAAAAAGTATTTGTGGAGAAAGATAAAATAAATCAGGATTATTTTGCCTCGAGAAAGTAATAAGTAAGTCAACAATTATCTTCTCTACCCAGAAGCCAGCAGGCAGCTAGAGCTATTCATCATTTCCAAAGAAGACAGAAAAAGATAAGATAGTCCAATGGCAGAGAGGTATGAACTTTCTCACCATGGGGTTGTACAAACTTACATGGGCATCAATCAGCTGGTCACAGGGCTATGGCCATGTGATGTCACACTTTTTGGAAAATGCAGTCCAGGTGCTGGCTTTATTTTTATTTTTTTTAAGGGTAGGAATTAGTTTTATTTGATAATTACTTATTAGGACTTGCATCAGGGTAAATTTACACAACCAGACAACTTAATTCTTAAATTCTTCAGTGGTGGATCTTTCATGTTTAGGTACATAAGTATATATAAAAGTATAATACACTTGCCCCAGTTGGAATGTTCTACATTTATTGTAATTCACCACCATGAACAGTGTACAGAATCTATACTCTCCAGGTGCTGGCTTTAAAAAGAAGTGACACCACATGGCTGAGACATACTGAAGGAGGACAAGCATAGGCCTGACATGCATGTGATGCAATCTGAATATATATATTTCATTGTATAAAACTATTACCCACCAGGAGGCAGAAGGCCGTATATAGTACTTATTAAAGTTCAAAAGAAATCCCAAGAAACTAAGAAAACTCCCATCTCAGGGTGTGCTAGGATGTAGAAGCAAAATAGAACTATTATTTTGGCTTTTGCTGGACTCACACAGTTTCCCCTTCTGGTCCCTCAGTTTCTTTTCCTTCAGAAAAGCAGAATGCTGGGCTGCTGGCCATGAAGTTCAAGGCTGACTTATAAACTAATCCTCCCAGCTCTTGGGTACAATATTATTGTGTGCACTCACGGTGAGCCTTCTAACAAAATCCCAAACAATTCTTCCTCTACAGACTTTCTGAGGTTACTTCTATTGTGAGGAATATTAGCTCCCTGCTGACTGTTTCCACCCACAAAGCATAACTTAAGTCTAACCACAGATATAAAAACTGACTGGTAAAATCCTTGCTATGGGCATCTTCATGGCATTTGGAGAGCATTCTCTGTGAAGTCAGACACATTGCATTGAGCATTTAGAGGAAAAGTTGGGAAAGAAAGGCACAGACATTCAAAGGCAAGAATGGAAAGTCTGGAAATCCATCCACAAAACCAGTAGTGATGAGAGAGATTAACACTCAACACACAGTTTGAATGGAGACAACAGGCACATACGTTTGGGTCTCAGTTCTGAGGCCTCGGAACCAGCACCTTCCCCGGGCAAGCTGAGAGGCTCCACTACATCTGTATCAGGAGGAGGATATGGCGGGGGCGGGGGAAGCACTAGCTGAGGTGGGCCTCGAGCAGTACCTCTGGGAGGCTTTTGTGGTACCTGCCGTCCAACACCTATGTGGAATCAATGGGAGTGACTTCAGAAGTTAAGCCAAAAGAGTACCTATCTTCCATCGGAGGGCACCATATCCAACCATCCAAACGCCAAATCCAGTCACACCCAACACCATATCCAACCTCATTCTACACCAAATACAATCATACCTAATACCAAATCCAGTCATATCAACACCAAATCCAGCCATACCCAATACCAAATTCACCCACACCCAACGGCAAAATTAATCATACCCAACACCATATCCAACCTCACTCTACACTAAACATAACCTCATTCTGCACCAAATCCAGCCATACCCAATACTAAATTCAGCCTCATTCTGCATCAAACAGCCACACCCAACACCAGATACAACTTTGTATTTTTTTAAACCAAATCCAAACTTGCCTATCACCAAATCCAATCTCAGCTGATACCAGATCCCATCACACTTGTATGTATGTATTGTCCTACAGCCAGGCCAATTTGTAAATATCTGCCTGGTTGCAATTTATTTCTGGGAGGCTAATGACATAAATACTGGGCCTGAAACTATTCTTAAAAGCCCCCTAAACAATACTGTCAGATTAAAATAAACTCCTGTTCTTCACATTAGTCTTTTTCAGGTTCTCAGATCTGTTCTTTAGCTAATTTTTGCTACTTTTCCATATCCACTGAACAATATAATAATAGATAAAGCACTAATTTAAATATTCTTTTCAGCCTATTATACTGTCAGCCTCTTTCATTGTTTGGGGTAATGGTTTCCAGAGTTTGTTTTGAAGAGGGTTCTGAGTTGTGGACAGTTGGGTGAGTGTGGTGAGTCCAGTTCCATTTCATCAGTGAAACCCTCATGTATCTTGTTTATATGTTGGGGATGCATTTATAATTTTATGTGAAAATCGCATGCTAATGAAATTTTTGGAAGCTAATGTAAAAAATGACATGAATTACCAGTGTTAGGTCACATTCACTATAATTTTTTTAATAAACACTTTATTCAAGCTTTGGAGTTCTGGGTCTTTGAATAATACATATTCAACGCTTTATGTCCTTTACCAGATTATTAATAAAAATACTAAGAAACAGCATTTTTTCATTGAGATATATTCATTTATTCCTTGTTTTGAATACAGTTTCTCTAGATGTGGTAAAATATTAATTTCCCCATATAAAGCAACATTTTTTTCCTTAAAGTGAAAATGAGCCCAAATCAGTCTGGGTGGTACTGTTTATCTGGCCCTGGCAGTGTCATTAAAAGGGCAAAACAAAAAGGAAGGATGCTTTCCATTCCAATAAAGTTGAACTAAGATCCAAATCCAGCTACTGGTAATACTGTTTAGTACAAGTTCTAAAATAAAATTTTCTTTATATCTACATGTCTGTATAGAAAGAGTCACTTGATGTGGATAGGGGTTACTTGTTTTCCTTCAACCTAAGGTTTGGTTACATCTTCTGTATGGTATACATTTAATGAATGGGGACTTCTGATGGGGATGGAAGTCTGCCATGCCATTGCTTCCAAGGCCTTTTCCATCATCTCCTGTCCTAAAAAACATTCCAGATTATTTCCAATTATTGTCAGCAAGAGAGAAGTTTTTGGCCTTCTAAGTCATCACAAATGATACTTTATGGACCAGAAAGACAGACTTGTAGCAAATCACGATTATTTGTTACTTTCCTCTTGTAATGTTTCTGAGGAAACTGTGAAATTTTCAATTTTAGAACTCCTGCCTCTCATCTCCTCAGGCATCTGTAGGCATCAGTTGGCCCATCAGATGGGCAGGTTCTCCAAGCCCATCAGACACAAATACTTCTTCCTTCTTGGCTGACTCGGGGTCGGGGGTCCTTTCCTAGCTTTAAATGGGCTGCTTGGCGAGGAGTTTGTTTGGTATGACTCGACCACATCTGCATGGCCACATAAAGTGGTTGCTTCTGAGAATTTCAACAAGGATATCTCTAAATCGGGGGGGGGGGGGTTTGTCTCCCTTTCCAAAGAGAAGGGAGGGAGCTTTTCTCATCATAAAACAGGAGAAAACCGGTTTTATTTTAATGGTCCAATGATAATACTGTCTTTAAATCTGACAGTATTTTCCCCTATGAAAGAGGATGAACTGACATGAAATACAGGTCATTTCTCCTTATGATAATTGATTCTCAGGCTGTGAAATGCTAGGGCATTAAGTGAGGTATTGATTAAAGGGGGGGAATGCTGAACAACCTAGTAGAACTTATCAAAGTTTTCAGACCTTGACAACAAACACTTGTCCTCAGGTGTATTTTCCCTTCTGGAACCACATATACTGGGCCACAGGTAAAAAGCAGGGCCATGGGACAGTATTAAAGGAACCAGGAGTGGCTGTCTGCTGGCTTCAGAGGGGGCTCTGATGTGCTTTCCATCACTGGGGTCTCAGGCTCAGGAGTGGGTGATTCCTATGCTGCTCTGTTCCAAATCCTTCTCTGAAAGAGCTGTTTCTGTTTCTAATTGATGAAATAGTTAACACTGAAGGACTTTAAAATAAGATTGATTATCCCTGACTCACAGGCCTATAGACCTCCATCATTCAGCATCTATCTACCTCACCCACACCATAAGATGTAGAGATATAATCATGTCATAATACCTGGTCAAAGCATACCAGAGTCTTTGCTAAATATATAAAAGTTATATAAATGCAGTCTAACTTCAAACAGGAATGTCAGAAAACTAACGAGGTAACTCATTTATAGGCTGGGTATCCCTAAAATGCTCACAACCAGACACATTCTGGGTTTCAAATATTTTTTTTAATTTTAGAACATTTGCATATACATAATGAGATATCTTGGGGATGGAACCTAAGCCTAAATATGAAATTAATTTATGCATCATCTACACCCTACATACACACCTGAAGGTAATTATACAGTATTTTTAATAATTTTGTGTGTGAAATAGTTTCATGGTATAGAATTTTCCACTTGTGCATCATGTTGACACTCAAAAAGTTTCAAACTTTGGAGCATTTTGGATTTTCATATTAGAGATGTGTACCCTATATAAACTACATGGGGCCTAAGCTGTCTTTCAAGTGCCAAATATCTTTCAAAACAACCTACAAGGATGTCATCTTAAGAGCTTATCTTTTTTCCACCAGAAAGACACATATCACACAGTCACACTCATTCATGCTCCACTTGTCACCTTCTCCCAGATTATGCAGCCACTCTCCATCCTTCCCATTATCCCACTCCTCAATGCCTGTAATGTCCATGAAAATAAGATATTAAGTGAACACACAACTACTTATTTCCAGACTTTCTTTCTTTAGCATAAATATTTTCTGGGTTAATACTATTATGTATGAGTCCACTGTGAGAGTTAAGAGCAGTGCTAGCATTCCACACACAGCAGGCATTCCAGAGGTATGCAGACAGCAAGCCCAGTCTCACTCACCCACTGTGCTCTTCCTGTTCTCCTCCTTGTCCTCCCTGCGGTTGGGGACCAGGGGACTTGGTGGAGGTGGCTGTGGCAGGGGACTTGGTGATGGTGGCTGTGGTGGAGGTGGAAGTGGAGGTGGAGCTGGTGCCCGCCGCTTCTTCTTCTGCAAATCAACCTGTGAGCCCAGAGACATCTGAGAAACAGAAAGAGGAGAGACAGGGTTAGGGGAATTTTTGTATGGGAGTGATGTGTTTGTGGGACACAGGACCTATGGAAACAGATAATTGTGGCATGGGTGTCATAAGGAAGGCTGTCAGATTGCCATCCTCATTCTGGGTCCTCTCAGGCAGGTGGTGGAGGCAGTGGTGTGAGGCCTGCCATATTCTCTAAGCAAGGCCCTGAGGTGACACAGTGATGTTCATGGTCACTCACAAGTTCCCCCAAGCACAGGTAACTCATATTTTCTAGGGATCCAGGTAAGTAATTCTGGAGCCTGAGAATCTTTCTCAGGGCATAAATGAGAAAATGATCCCTACCCCTTAATTAAATGCAAGAGTACTCTTTTTCCCAGGAATAAGGGGGACTACCATTATTTGTGTCCACACATTAGACGAGATGGGAGTAGTTCATGCTTCCTGTGCCCTGTCTTGCATGTATTTCCCTGCTTCTGCAAGCTCATACTCCAGAGTAGCCAGGACTGACATGGTTCACAAGCTGCCAACTCCTGGATCTAGAACTAAGGTTCTGTTAAATGGGACATTAGATCAGAATAAAAGACATCAATCTCCCATATAAAGCAGAAATCCAGCTCCTACTTAAAGACTCTAACAATGAAAAATTCACAGCTTCTAAAGGCAGCTTGTCAGTATTAGGTAGGTCTAAATGTTGAAAGTGAAATCTGTTTTGTTTCATCTGTAAAATTAAATACTATAGAACAAAATTGACCAATATTTTTTGTTCTATTGTGCACAAGAATAAATATGTAACAACTAATCTCTCTATTATGTGAAATTAAAATGCACCAATAAAAAATTGAATATATTGATTCTAGTTCTTTTGTTTCTAAAGGACTCCATTATTCTCTGCTCTTAATTACAGCCAAAGTTCATTCACTTTCTTTCAATAATTAAAATTCACTTAAAGAGTACTGAGTTGTGTGCAGAGCAGTGAAATGAAAATGATAATTTCACTTGTTCTTGCCCTCAAACTGTTCTCAGTCAAGTTTTGTACCACTCATCCAAGCATTCCCTGACCTTTCAAGGGTCCATTACAGGGATGGCACTGGCCCACACCACCATTCTTTAGTACCTTGGTTTTGATCAGGTGCTCTGGTTTATTAACTCATGTTTGCACCACGTATGTGAGAACTGAGCATTCAGCTCACAACCCAAGGAACACAATTTCCTTTTCTGGACTGGACGTGGTACTACATCCTTTAAAATTTTATCAGTACTACACTATTGCAAAAAACATATATGTAAACAAAAGGAAGAAAATAATCATGTGATTGACTTTATTAATCAATATAAACTACTAATGATTAACATATTTTTTAGTCTTTATCTTTTCTTTTAAAACTAATGTTTTCTCTCTTTCCTTCTACCACAACATTTTATAATCATCTCCCATATCTTTAAAGTTTTTCCTTCTACCACAACATATTATAATCATCTCCCATATCTTTAAAGTTCTACAAAATATTTTGCATAAAGCAAAAAATAACATAAAATCAAAAACTCCTACAAAGCTCAAAGTCAAAATCAGTGATTCCTTGTCTACCACCTTTGCAATGGCAAGAACCACTTCAAACACATTTTTCTTTTGGCATTTACTGCCTTTTTCTAAATAATAAGTTCACTGTGCTACTCCTTGATTTTTGCACATTAGATGTTGGCTTTCTACTCCTGAAAATGGGGATTTATTCTTTGAGACATGCACACACACATACCCACATGGACACATATGCACACATTTTTTTTCCATCTTTTCCAAAATTATAGCATGAGATGTAAATTACTTTTCACTAGTCATATAGTAGTCTACCCTTATTTGCAGTTTCATTTTCCACAGTTTTTCCATTATCTTCAGTCACCTGCAGATAAAACTATTAAAGAGAAAAAAAGTGACAATTTTTAAATTGGGCAGGGTTCCAAGTAACCACCTCCTGTACTGCTCCATCTCACATAAGATTAATTATCCCTTTATCCATTGTATCCACACTATATATGCTACCTGTTGGTCATTTAATAGCCATTTAGGTTGTCAGATCAACTGTCACAGTATCATAGTCCTTGTGTTCAAGGATTCCATATTTCACTTAATGGTTCCAAAATGTAAGGGTAGTAATGCTGGCAGTTTTATTATAGTATATTATTATAATTGTATTTTATTGTTGTTAATCTTGTACTATGCCTAATTAATAAATTAAACTTTATCATCAGTATGTACATATGTGTGTACTGCAAAAAAAAATAGTATATGTAGGGTTTGGTACTTTCTAGGCTTCCAAATATCTTCTGGGGATCTTCAAAAGTTATCTCCCATGGATAAGGGAGGATAGCTGATAATAGATATTATAATAACATAAAATAAAATTTTTTCAGCAGAAATTTTTCTACTTGAGATGTATAATGTATAGGATGATTACACTTTCTTTCCAGAATAAATCTGCTTTTTCCTGAATTTAATTTTTTTTTAAAATTTCCTGGAAATTTACATTTTTCTACTCAGTTCCAGCCCCTGCCTCCATTATGGACAAGATGCACATAAGTAATATTTTTGAGACCTTGAGAATATAAAAGTGATTTTATCCTATTATACTGAGTAGTCCATACAGATGCCTACAGGAACCTTGAATGGAAAGAACAGTCTCTACAAAGGCTGAAAACAGTCATTACTCTGTTGTCTCCTAAATTGTACTGTGCAGTCAAGACACCCCACACCATGCTGGTGCTCAATCTTTCACAAGTGATCTGCATTCCTCCTGTAGGCTTGGAAGACCCACTCTTTAATCCTTTATGCCCTGACATTTGGTGACAGCATGCTCCAGGGTGGATTTCTTTTGGTCCACTCTCTGGGGCAAGGGCTCACCCCTGCAGGCTGTGTACCTGAAGAATTTTCTAGTGTTCTTCCTTTTTACTTCTTTCTTCCCTTTGTTCCCCTCCCCTCCTGAGGATTTTAATGAGTTGAACACTGAAGATTCTAACTCCTGCCTATTTTTCCCTTTCTTGGAAACTTCTTTTACTTTATTGTCCAACTCTTATGAATTTTCAAGTTTCTTTTACTATATTTTGGTTTCCAAGATCTCCTTCTTCTTATGTGTTTTAGAAACAGTATCATGGTCTCCTTTTCTGGGTGTACTATCTTCTCTTTTCTCTCTGACACTATCATTTAAATATTTTTTTTATTATTTTTTTTAATTTTTTTATTGGTTGTTCAAAACATTACAAAGCTCATGATATATCATCTTTCATACATTTGACTCAATTGGGTTATGAACTCCCATTTTTACCCCAAATACAAATTGCAGAATCACATTGGTTACACATTCACATTTTTACATAATGGCATATTAGTGACTGTTGTATTCTGCTACCTTTCCTTTCCCCTACTATCCCCCCTCCCCTTCCCTCCCATCATCCCTCTCTACTTCATCTGCAGTTGTTCAATTCTCTCCCTTGTTCCCCACCCCCTTTCCCCTCACATCCTCTTCTATGTAATTTTGTGTAACATTGAGGGTCTCCTACCATTTCCATATGCTTTCCCTTCTCTCTCTCCCTTTCTCTCCCCCAACTCGTCTTTGTTTAATGTTAATCTTTTCCTCATGCTCCTCCTCCCTGTTCATTTCTTAGTTGCTCTCTTTATATCAAAGAAGACATTTGGCATTTGTTTTTTAAGGATTGGCTAGCTTCGCTTAGCATAATCTGCTCTAATGCCATCCATTTCCCTGCAAATTCTATGATTTTGTCATTTTTTATTGCTGCGTAGTACTCCATTGTGTATAGATGCCACATTTTTTTTATCCATTCATCTATTGAAGGGCATCTAGGTTGGTTCCACAGTCTAACTATTGTGAATTGTGCCGCTATGATCATTGATGTGGCAGTATCCCTATAGTATGCTCTTTTTAAGATCCTCAGGGAATAGTCCGAGGAGGGCGATAGCTGGGTCAAATGGTGGATCCATTCCCAGCTTTCCCAGGTATCTCCATACTGCTTTCCAGATTGGCCTTACCAATTTGCAGTCCCACCAGCAGTGTACAAGTGTACCCTTTTCCCCACATCCTCGCCAACACTTATTGTTGTTTGACCTCATAATGGCTGCCAATCTTACTGGAGTGAGATGGTATCTTAGGGTGGTTTTGATTTGCATTTCTCTGACTGCTAGAGATGGTGAGCATTTTTTCATGTACTTGTTGATTGATTGTATGTCCTCCTCTGTGAAGTGTCTGTTCAGGTCCTTGGCCCATTTGTTGACAGGGTTATTTGGTATCTTATTGTTTAATTTTTGAGTTCTTTGTATATTCTGGATATTAGGGCTCTATCTGAAGTGTGAGGGGTAAAAATTTGTTCCCAGGATGTAGGCTCTCTGTTTACCTCTCTTATTGTTTCTCTTGCTGAGAAAAAACTTTTTAGTTTAAGTAAGTCCCATTTATTTATTCTTGTTATTAACTCTTGGGCTATGGGCGTCCTATTAAGGAATTTGGAGCCCGACCCCACAGTATGTAGATCGTAGCCAACTTTTTCTTCTATCAGACGCAGTGTCTCTGATTTGATATCTAGCTCCTTGATCCATTTTGAGTTAACTTTTGTGCATGGCGAGAGAAAGGGATTCAGTTTCATTTTATTGCATATGGATTTCCAATTTTCCCAGCACCATTTGTTGAAGATGCTATCCTTCCTCCATTGCATGCTTTTAGCCCCATTATCAAATATAAGAAAGTAGTAATTTTGTGGATTGGTTTCTGTGTCCTCTATTCTGTACCATTGGTCCACCTGCCTGTTTTGGTACCAGTACCATGCTGTTTTTGTTACTATTGCTTTGTAGTACAGTTTGAACTCTGGTATCGCTATACCTCCAGATTCACACTTCCTGCTTAGAATTGCTTTTGCTATTCTGGGTCTTTTGTTTTTCCATATGAATTTCATGATTGCTTTATCCATTTCTACAAGAAATGCTGTTGGGATTTTAATT